ATCAAATTATCTATCTATCAAATTATCTATCTATCTATCTATCTATCTATCTATCTAATATATCTATCTAATATATCTATCTAATCTATCTATCTAATCTATCTATCTAATCTATCTATCTATCTATCTATCTATCTCTCTCTCTCTGCATGTATATATATATATATGTATCTATATACACACGTATGCATGCAATTGTAGATTTTCATGTAAATATCTTTAATACACCAATGTATAATACAGATGTATGTATATTTTATATATATATATGTATGTATATGTATACATATATGGATGATACATATAACACATACACACAGAGATTGTGTATATATTTGTATATACAGTAGATATGTATAAATACAACATACGTGCGTGTATTATACATATGTATATATATATGTATATACACGTTTTTCTATCTTAATATTCTTAATATATATATATACACATCCATATGATTTTATATTTGCATGCATGTTTGAATGCATATCCGCATTTACATAGATACCTGAACATCTTCCAAACAATAACTCATATTGCTCAGTGTCTGATTTTGATTTCAAATCTGCTGAGGTCCTGAGACCTTTGTCCCCAGCAGCGACCACAATCGTGGCCCTGTCTGCAGTGGTGGGGCTCACAAGCTGTGACGCTCTGATGCAGACACAAAAATGGATTGAAATGTAATTTGCCAATTAACCCAAGAATTCTGTCGTCTGTTGAGAATTTTTTGTCCACTTTTTTCCGCACTTGACTGCCCTCATGGTACGGAGGTCTTTACTGGGACAGCTACACTTGCACAGGCGCTGAAGGCCTTCACTGAGGAGGCACCTGCGCTTGTCAGCGCCTACCTACACATGGCATGTTCATTGTGGCATTGTGAACTTCGCAGGTGGTTTGGCTGGTCCTGATTGCTTTCTTTCTTGCTGAAGGCTTCCACAAGCCAGTATCCCAGGAGATCCCAACAGATTTGAGAGCATTTTGCAAATTCTGCCAACCAGCATTCTGCATCATTTTACAACAGACCCTTCTTCAAATGCCTTGAGCAGAGTCGACTCCAAGGACTGGTTTGGGCGATCGCATTGCCTTGAATGTGATTCGGATAGTTGGTGGAACGACGAACTGCACTTAGAATCTGGTGCTCCATGTGTTGTCTAGAGATGTCTAGGAGGTGTTTAGAGCAGCACACCTTCATACACACACACACAGACACACACACACACGTAGACATACTACTTATTGGATTTTGGAATCAAGCGGCGCGTGTTTTTATGAATCATTCTTGTAGCAATTCTGCATGTTGAACTTGGGTGAACATGGAGGATGAACGTTGTCTGAGTCTAAGGCTGGGGCTTGCATACGGCTTGAACTTTGCTGAGCTCGTAGTTGCGGCTGCTATGCCTTGTTCTGCAGCCAGGGTCCGGTCCAAAGTTTGCAATCTCAATGCTGCTGCTTTCATCTGGTTCAGCTAATCCATACTTGGAGCAGAACATCGCCCTACTGAAATTCAAATAGATGAAATTCGATATGACCCAACCTTCCCTGCTGTCCAATCTCGTTCTGGTGATTATCTTCCATAATTCAAGAGCTTGCTATGGAGATCATGGAGGCCAAGCATGGCCAATCTGTCAAAGGGTTCGAATCTGTTTTGGTGAAGCGCACGATACATTTAGGCTGCAGCGATGTTCTATCCAATTACAAAATCTGTGCACGACTCAGACTGACAACCTACTCGTTCGCCAAGTCTTGACTTGACTACTGGAAACCTTCAAGCATTAAATTGGATTGTCTCAAAGGCAACATGTTTGAATATTTCTGTGCAAAACAAAGTGCGCGAAGCGTTTTGATGTTGTATTCTTTGAGAAGGTTGAGAAACCTTGCGCTTGATGCCGACTTGCTGGCTCAGCTACCCCTCCTGGTCTTGACACACAGGTGTGCAAAGCCAGTGGATCTGACCCTAATGAGGCCAGGTCTGGATAGTGAAAATTGGCTAGCGAAAAGTTGACATTAAAGCAGCCAGTCCTCAGGGAACGGAGTCCAAGTGCGGCAAATTCCTGGTGGAGTGCTGCTACCAGGCCAGTCACACATCCGTTTGAATTTTGTGTGCTCAAAGCCTCTCAGCTTCTTTGGAGGCAACTGCAACGTCGTCGTGCATGTTCCTCACGGGTGCTGCGCAAAACTACTTTGTGCTGAAATTGGCCGATGATGTAAGACACCTAGATGTGTGTCACATCAAATCTGATGACTTTAGCGTTGCCTCAGACAAGTTTTTCCGCCCACAAGGTTGGCATCCATTTGGATCATCCTTTTCATACTTGGTTTGCAGCAGCTGTAGTTCCAGCCCGGGCCCAAGCAGGACCTGTCATTTACCCACCTGCCTTGTTTGGCGTTCCCGTTTTCAAGCCCAACGTGGCCAATCCCAACGCTAGGCCTTCGTGTCCTTCTTGCTGACACCACTTGTGGCTCTGAAGCTCATGCCACCAGAGTCACGAACAACATCTGACGCACCGAAGGCCTGGTTTTTCAATTGGCAAGTGCTTCTAAATCTATGGAAGACTCAACGCGTTGCCTGTCGCTTGAGGTTGCGAAGCAGCGGCTGGATGAAATGGGTCCCATATCGGATGACGAGAAAGTCTTTCTCTTCGTTATGCTTGGTAGCTCGACAAATCCGTCACAAAACAAAACAGTGTACACGCCCAGTTGGAGATCTAGTGTAAAACAGTCAGAAATTGGACCCCTAATCAATATATCACCAATTATTTCGCACACAGTTTAAGCAAATAGATTTCTCTCCTCTAGCTCTTGCTTGGAATGTCCTGATTCGGGAACTGCTCAAAAATCTTGAACCTCAAAAACGATTTGTGAAAAACACAGCTCGACCAAACCAAGCACACGCGTGGTCCCCCTGGCAGCTTTGGCACCTTTCTGATGTCTCGAACTGTCTCGATACGGTGACCACAGCAATGGCACTTTGCCAAGACTTTGCCAAGACGAACGGTCTCCCCTTGCAACTTCCAATGACCTGCTCTCATGTGACTCACCTGATCTCACCGGACTCACTGAAGGGGATCCATGCATTGCCCTGACCCTCCATTCTTCACACCCAACACAGACATCCATCCGGTGCAAAAAAAGGTGGGTCACAGATACTATTGGTACTATTGTCTCCTGATCAAAAGGTTTTTACATTCTGGTCTAGCATTGTTTTCACTGGGAAAGACGTGGTGACTTGTTTCCCATCAGTCTAGTGACTTGAACAAAATGCTCCGTCTTTGGTTTGAGTTTGAGCTTGTTTGATTTGGTTTGGAACCTGTTACTCAGGCATGGTAGTCCTGTGGGCTTCGTCGTCCTTGATTCACGTGAAACCTGCGATCACAGCCTTTTGCGGCCTTGGGATTCTTCTGTTGACCGGCGTCATCACATGGGAGGACCCTAGACTTAGACTGCCAATGTGGTTTCCGCTCGCCTGCAATTCATCCTAGGTGCAACACAAAGCATTTGAATTCAATTCTGGGAACACATCCACCACAGCATGTCAACTATTCAATGCAACGTGCGTTGCCTGCAGGATTGCGCAAAGAATCAACAAGCGTGGAGCACTTTTGTATCCTTTGCAACTTTGGTTGGCCAGATCCTTGGAATCGCTGTGCTTTCCGGAGCTCAAACGAGATGGATTGTGAGGCTTAGCTGAGATGCTAAAGATCCTTGGCATTGTTGAGCTCAGTCCTTAGACTTGAAAGGAAAGGATGGACAAATTCTGAGACAAAGCGAAGGAACATCAAACACAAAAAAAACGAAGAAACGCAAAGAAACAAGGAGCCTCACAGAGGGTGAAAGAACGCAAGGAAGACTACTTGGCTCTAAAGACAAACAACTTTGCGCACAAGACGAGCCAGAGCACCATTTGGGCATATTTGGAGAACTCCTGCAAATTCTCTTGCACAAGTGTGAGGTGGTTGTCGTCGGTGGTAACGCCTGGAACCAAAGGACAGCTCTCACTCTCGGCACTCTCGCGTTGTTTCTGGACGTACATTTACATAATAGTCTGGACTTCAAAACCTTGGACAGTATCAGTAGCAGTTCTCAATTCTCCATTGCTAAGAGGGCTCAAAGAGCCAGTCTCAATGAGGTTCTTGAGTGGGTGTCAACAGCATCAAGGTTTATGTATTTCATGTCTCCAGAAAGCAGAGAAGGGGTTCAATTCAGAGAAACACTGCCATGCCATGCGATCAAATTATATTACGTCACTTAAATACTATCTTATACTTATTTATACTTGCATGTTTACTACAATTCCGAGCTGGTGTTAGCCGTGCGGGAGTCTGAGGTCAAAAATCAGAGCTGCAGGACTGGCACAGGCGCAGATACAGACTATCATTTTTTTTGCGGGGATTTCATTATGTTCATTCATTTCTGTGATAAGATGTGCCAAGATGTGACAAGTCATACAAGTCGTAGTCATGTCGTAGTCATGTCGTAGTCATGTCGTAGTCATGTCGTAGTCATGTCGTAGTCTGTCGTAGTCATGTCGTAGTCATGTCGTAGTCGTCATGGGTCTTAGGTCTTGACACTCTTGACCAGCGCTGAGGTACCGGCCTTCCTGGTCATCATCACTTCGTACTGGCTAATTCATTATCTCTTTGCCTCACAGGAGATCCCGGCCTGTTGGAAAAACATGGAAAAACTGTAGGCATCAGCCTGCGTGCTCCATGGCAATGATCATGGAGGATGTACGGATGTGAACATATACATTTGGATTATACATATAATTACAGACATGTACACACAGATATATATATATATATGTATAATGTTATATAATCAATCTAATGTGATATGATGTAATTATTATATGATATGATAAATATGATATGATGTGATATGGTATGATTTGATATGATGTGATATGGTATGATTTGATATGATATGATATGATGTGGTATAACGTAATGTAATATAGTATACTAGACTATAGCATAGTATACTATGGTCTAGTATATACATATTATATGTAATGAATATATGATTAGATATGTATATACTAAAATATAATAATGATGAAAATAGAAATAATATCAATGCGTGCACACACACACACATATATATATACATACACATACACACACACAGACACACATATATATATATATTATGTAAATACGGATCATTGCTGATCTATTGTTTCGTGTGGACAAAATCCTTCCTGGCAGTGTCAAACCCTTCGCAGCTTTGACAGGTGGCACATGTATCTGCTTTGTTCCAACCATTTTTGGTTATGCTGGTGGCTGCCTCAGCGAAGGCAGCTTTGCACAACATTGTGCAAAGTTACACTCGCATGAAATCTTTTGAGGTAGAAACGGGAACTCCAAAGATTCCAGCCTTGTTTGCACTGGCCTTCGTGTCTAATCTCTTTGCTACTTTGACTCCATATGTCGGGCCCTCGGACGCTAAAACTTGCGGAGATTTGAGGGTGTGCATGCGAGTTTCTCTGATTTCATGATTTGCTGTGGCTTAGTCATTGCTTCTTGTCGTGCCAAGGCCTCTGCTCAGTCAGCAGTTCTCTTTGCTGGACATTACATAACTCCGGTAGAATGGTACAAGGCGGGTGTCTCTCAACCTGACGAGTTTGCAGAATCCCATGAGACCGTCATGAGAGCATGTGAGTTCTATGTGAGTCTGGCTTGGAAGAAATTGGCCCCAGGCTGGCTTTGTTTTCATGCTCGCCTACTACATAGAATGGCTCGTAGTCGGTGCCATCCTCAAGAGTAATGCAGTCAATTGTATACAAACGAGGAAATAAGAAACCCACTTCAGTCCGTGTCCGTTGTCATGTTTTCATTATTGCCACGCGCAAGAGCAAGATGACGAGCTAAAAGGAGAGCGTACGAGAGCAATCCATTTCGAAGCTGCTAGAGCGTACAAGATGGTATTAACGACCAGAGAAAAGCGATCTGGCCAGTGACCAAAGAGTGCAAGAGTTCGATTAATGTTTGTTTTGTCTCCGGCTCCGAGAAAGTCTGCTTGAGACATGCAAAATGACATTAAACAATGTTCAACCAACGCAGCATGTTTGGAACTGCTTCAAAGCAATTCAAGCTAGACAATGACTTGCTTTGGGCATGCACAGAGTACGAACCGCAGCCGAGTAAAATCACCTGACACCACAAATTGTCCACTTGACCCAGCGCCCATCACATGTACATCATGTACCATCTAAATGAAATTGCTGACCTTGTCATCCAAGCGCAGCTGCCAAGGTGCTGCATGGTGGCGTCTGATTGGGCTTGTTTGACTGAAAATACGGTCTCAAGTCATACCAGTCATACCATCACCGCCAGCAGTCAAATCTTTTCCGGATGAGCGAAATCGCGGGTGCCGGGCGCAAAGAGCTGCACGTCCGTCGAGTCCGTTGAGATCCTGCGATCCTTTAGATCCTTGCTGGCTTAATGTGGTCAGCGAAAGTCCGACCCATTCCATGTCTATGGCCTTTGTCTCATTAGCATGGAAAGGGAAATATGCAAAGGAAGATGAGAAAAGAAATGGCGAGTTCTTCAGCGGTCTTTTTTGCATGTCTTTCCCACACTAGGGCACTACACCCCTGCTTGAGATGCGCAACTAGCCGCTAACTCATCTGACCCAAGAAACATCTCTGAAGGACCCTGGCATCAGGTCAAACTCTCTGGACCTCATGTGCTTAGCAGATCAGCTTGGCGTCCCGTCCATGCAGCCTGTTTTGATTCGGGCCTGGGTGCGGGGACCGTGATACAGAGGAGCTAGGAAAAGGAAGACGCGACGAGGCAGAAAGAAGAGGTAGGCGGTAGAAATAGTATGACATGGTCGCAATCTTCAGCCTTTCTGTACACAGTGTGCAACTTGTATTGCATCAAATGTCAGCTGCCAGGCGACTGTTTGAATTTGCTCAGCTTTGGGTTGCCAATCAACAGGACCTTCCTGACGTGAGTGCATTGTGCAATGCCTGATCTTTAAATATCAAGACCCGCTGAATATGTATATGATTGTGATTGATTGTATATGTATGGATGGTGATGGTGCTGTCTCAATCTTTCTTCTTGTCTGCTTCTACAGTACTACTTGCCTTCTCTCTGCGCATTAAATGCATCAAGAATCAAGCCATCATGACATTCTATGAATTTGGAAGCATGCCTTTGAGTAATATGCAACAGCCATCAAGCACTTAGATTTCACCCGTGCAGTATACCATGATTGTTGGACCATGTCATGCTGATTCTGCAAAAATGGCTTAACTGAAGAAACCATCCGATATAGCTAAATTCTATCCCGGCATCATCATTTGCAGCAATTCGTAGAGAAGGACAAACAAAGATATTCACCATATTTAGTCATTATTCGTTCAATGCCCTTTCATGTTGCTTGGTTCCTGTGCTTTCATTTGACTGCAATGTGACCTCACTTTCAAGAGCGTACTGATGGCTTAGCCATTTGGTCGCAGCCTCAAGAAATCCATAGAGCGTTCTGACTTCATACAGCATTTTGAAAACCACTCTGCTGATGTCGAAGTGCCTGGCCTTTAAGGTCCTACTCGAATGGGTCACCACTTTTCTTCGCTTTCCAGGTCTTCCTCAATGAGAACAGGGGGGCGTGCAGGGTCAAAGTACCTTCTCGGTGTTGCATGAGTTGAATTGAATTGAGTTGAATTGAACTATCATGTAATCTAAAAGTCCAAGGCTGAATTTGTTTGTTGGGAGCATGCCTGGCCATTGCTTGGCTTGCAATCAACGTGAGGGTGCGTGATTAATAAACCGTGATAGTATTCGCATTTTTGCAGCATTTAGCTTCGTGTTACATATCAGAACCAGCCGGACAGTCTTGGCAGCCTCGTCTGACAATTCAGGTGTGCATGTGGACCTGGGACCCCTGGAGAGTTCGAGTTTCTACCTGGATACACAAGGCGTGCGAAGAGTGTTCACATTGCCATTCATTTCAGTAGATTGAGCAAATTCAAGTCGTTTGTCGAAGTTTGAAAGGCTGGAAGAGACAGAGAGGACACGCTCTTCATCCTCAAGAGAGTCCAAAAGCCGCAAGGGTGCACTTAGCGGCGATGAGGCAGGAACATGTGACTGTTGCAGGAAACATGATATTCTTTAAATATAGTTCTTTTGGGCAAAGCTAATCGGTTGGTAAGCTATAAGATCTATAAAAGATGCCACAGCAACAGTCACCGAGTTTGTTGATTGCTTTCCCCCTGACGCAGGCTCTGGCGGCGCGGCGCCAGCACCGGGTAAAGACACGCACAGATCACATCTTCCTAACAGGAGCATTACGTCACTTTGGCCGCGTCAGCCACATTTGCTGTTTTGATTTGTCATTGAGTTATATTCTATCATTTATCAATGATTGTGATCAGACAAGTAAGGGTGTGTGTGTGTGTGAAACGTCTGAATAGACGTAAAACTTCTACGCTTGCTTGGTTATACTCTTTTGGTTATGTCATCACCTATGAATTTACAAGTGCAGGGGGCACAGGTGTGACTCTGGTTCCCGTGCCAACGAAGACGGCCAGATGTCACAGTGATATCAAGGGGAGACGTCCCTTTGACGTACCTGCTATTCATGGAATCTCAGACTGTGTGGCACGGGGCTAAGCCGAGAACCCCATCATGATATTTTCATTGACATTTCTGCAATGGCGAAGGGCTAAGCCGAGAACCCTACGTGGTTTATATAAAACTGTATTGTTGCCGCAATCTGAACCTATTTCTACTGGGAACTTTGTGACGGTGTTCATGATCATGATCGGATTTGACACTATTCTTCGTTTGGATTTGGATACTACTTCAATGTGGACGACGATTTATTATATTCCATGTGACATGTCATGCTGATGTTTTAAGGGAATCAGGTCCCAACAGACCACTGTATGGTCTTGTCTTTTCTAAGTGTGACCTCCATGGTGTCCCCGACATGGTGCCATGGACCCTCTTGAGGGATCCCTTTTCAGACAGGGGTTGGTTATGCCTGGCTAAGACCCCAGGGCTCAAGCCCTTGAATTTAGCCGCGGCACTCCGCGGCTAGATTTTCTACAGGGATTTTAGCCAAGGCATTCTGAGGGATTCTAGCTAGAGCATTGGTTTCAACGTTGACGGTAGGCCAAGCGATTTTATTCATGAAGCTTTCATATGTTTCTTGTCAGGCCAAGGGAATTTATCTTTGGTATCTTTTAGAAAATTGTCATATGTTTAATCTAAGGCCATGGGATTTTATCCTAGTGACCCTGGGGATTCCAAAACCTCAAGCCTTGGATTTTATTTCCTATTGCAAATTATGCAAATATATATAGACAAATCAGGCAACGGTTGTGACCCACGAAGATCTTAGCCACTATCGCTCAAATCTGGCAGCGAGCCCTTCGGGATGTCCCGCACCAAAGCCAAGAACTCCTCAGCAATCTGAACCATCTGACTGCCCCACACAGTGCACATAAATGAAAAGCATCTGAGGTAGCTGAAATATAAATTTCACTCCGAGATCTCTAGGAGATACGTATAAAAAACCATCAACGCCCTCCCAAACATACAAAGCTAGTGGCTCGAAAAATCAAAAGGTAATACCTGTTGAGCTTCCTTCCTGGAATGGCTTGAGGTTTTGGGGATTGGCAATGTACATCTATATAAGCATACGCCAAAGTATGTATTGTTGGGCCCGATGTTTAGGATTGGGAATTCAAGTCACAATTTGCAATCAAAGCCTGAAACCAAACGTATCAAAACAATTCTTCTGGGTCACCCATACCCAATGTCAATCACCCAAGCATCTCGGGCTAAAAGCCACATGGCTTGGGGTCTTGGGGACTGGTGAAATAAATTTATGTAGACGTATGCCAAAATACCTATTGTTGTGCCAAATGTTCAAAACTGGCGCGTAGGTCACCCAAACGCAACATCGATCACCTAATAGCCTCAGGCTAAAACCCAAGTGGCCTGAGGTTTTGGGTCTTGGCAGATGTAAACCTATATCAGATAAACGCCAAAGTATCTATTGTTGTGCCAG